CAATTTAAAAGATTGCTTTTCATTGACTTTCTGTTGTTGTTAAGAGAAGAAATAATAATTTTTGGAATGCTCATAAGTTAAACCTTCCTTATAGACTAACTGTTAAGACTTCGGGAAACCCATTTTTACGCTAAGATCAAATATGTAAGGTTAGACAGCATTTTTTAACGTGAAAATTCGTAAACCATGCGTTGGACCGAAAATCGGATTCTAGAGTGTGCTTTGGCATAAAGATTTTGTGCCTTAAATGTGCCTAAGATGTGCATAAAGTGTGCATTTTAGTTTTGAAAAACGTGCCTAAGCCGTGCCTAAGTTGTGCCCAAACTGTGCCTAATCTGTGCACAAGTTGTGCCAAAATATTGAGTCACTCGGAAAATCGTGTCCAGCCTATCGAGCTCCACAGCGAACGAAAAGGGCGCACGGCAATTATGCCAGTTTTGAGGTTTACGAAGTCTAGAAACATAACATAACATAACATAACATAAAACTTTATTTAAACTCGAATTTAAGAGTAGCTAACAAGCTAATATCTTCGAGCTGACACTACATAAAAACTATATAGAAAATATATATATACATTAAATGCAAGGAAAGAAAATATCATTTACAATTCACAATTTTAAGTTTAAGTATGTCAGGCAAAAAGAATCTACATGAAGGTAACATCCTGTATCTTAGTCTTAAAGTCTGCAAAAAAACTGGTACGAAAAAAGTCCGGCAGTGCATTCCACTGCTTAGCTGAAAAGTAAGAAAAGGAGTTAAGACCATAGGTAGTTGTTTTAGGTTTACTTAGTGAAAGAATGTAGTTGCCACGAAGATCATAGGAAGAGGACCGGAGTGAAAACATATTCTTCATATAAGTAGGAAAATGAGTGAAAAACAAACTCATATTCTTCATATAAGTAGGAAAATGAGTGAAAAACAAACTCTTATATAACAGAATGAGGAAATTTTGAATGCGTTTGTTAAACAAAGAAGTAGAGCTGACTTTTGAGAGAAGAGTGTTGTATGGAGACGAGTAATCTCCAAGTATAAATCTAAGTATTCTTTTGTTTAAAGCTTCGAGCTTATCCGCATCGCGCGCACCACGAAAGTGCCAGACAGAGGAGCAATAATAAAAGTGAGGTAAAATATACGCTTTGTAAAGTTTGAACAAGATTTCCTTGCGTATGAGTTTTCTAAAGCGCAACATAACATTAAATTGATTATTAATCTTTTTGCATACATTTGATATATGTTTAGAAAAATTCAGATTATTATCTATTTCCATTCCAAAAATCTCTAACGTGTCCTTTACTGGGAAGGAAAAAACATACTCCGTATCACCGAGGATTAGACACTGGTGCTTGCTCTCATTAACTAACATCCCATTTTCATGTTGGCCACGCCAACATCATGAGATACGCATGCATCTAGAGCTGCCGGATCGACGTGGGAGTAGTATACCTGATGATCACCCGCATAAGCGTTCAACTTGGCCTTCTTGACGTGTAAGAAAAGATCGTTTATGAAAATGTTGAATAGCATGGGACCTAACACACTCCCCTGCGGGACCCCACGCTTGACGCATTCCCAGGTCGAAAAGGTGTCTCCAACTTTAACTCTCTGAGTTCTGCTAGAGAGATAGTTCCTAATTAGGGCACAACTTTTGTCGTCCATACCATAGGCCCTCAGTTTCGAAAGGAGGAGTGGATACTGAATAACATCAAACGCTTTGGAGAGATCCATAGAAACTACCGCAACAAGCTCCCCTCTGTCACGCATCATTCTCCAGTCCTCGGTCAACCTTAGCAAAGAGGTCTCGCAACTATAAAACTTTCTATAAGCGCTTATGAAGTCTGATAAGACCCCATTGTAAAATTCATACATCTGCCCCGATAGAAGCCTTTCAAAAATATTGTTTAGAGCAGGGAGCACAGTTACGGGCCTATAGTTGATCTTACAAAACTCGTCAAACGACCTTTTTATCCCCTAATAAGAAATAAAATGACTCAGAATACGGTTAGAGACAGCAGGGAAAGCCCCGAAGTGCTCAGCTCAATTACATTGTTGATATGCTAATTTCATCGATGTTGAAACATTTCCAAGTAGGTTTCTTCTCCCCTTCTTAACGGAGCGTTTAGTTGGAACGAAATATTTGTTTTTTTCAGGAGGGCAGATTTGCATTCAAAAAAAGAATTTACTTTTGATATGACTTATAAAATGAAAACGAAAAAATTGATTGCACGCCGATGAGTTTTGAAGCAAAATAAATGGCACGTCTCATCGGTTATTATACGATCAAAGCTTAATTTGCTAACAGAGCCAGAAAACAAAAACAAACAAGCAGCTTGAATTATTTTACTACGAAGTGTAAATCCTACGTTTTTAGTTAGAGAAATATTTTTAAAAAGCAGCCGCATTTTGTATTTAAAAAACAACACGCGTTGGCATGAAGGTTTCAAATTACCACTTCGTACTTTTCATGTTGTTATGCAAATTCAGGCCAATTTTACCGCGATCGCAAAAAGTATTTTCTACGACTTTTATTGGCTATTTTTGTGCCTTACTTCTTTAGCTTTGTTTTTGTTATTATGGCTTCGACTTTCTTTCACGATTTCTTTTAGAAACGAAAGAAAGCGAGTCTATAAAATTGCATGGCAATCGAAAAGGTTCAGACCGCATATATCGCGTGCGAATTTCCACATTATCCTCGGAGTAAACACGGACTGTCGAAGAATACTTTAATTTTCCAGACTTTCGGCGCGGCTCAAAACTTACACTTCCCATACTTCTAACTGTATCGTGTTTGATCTGAATTATTTTTGTAATTCGTACCAAGTTTGTTCTTTTTTGTAAGTCGGGTTACAAAGATTTTCAAAAAAGTGCCCAGCGTTGAATATTTGTGCCTAAACCGTGCCAAAACTGTGCCAAAACTGGGCCCAAACTGTGCCTAAAATGTGCCTTAGCAATATTTAAAACGTGCCTTAACTGTGCCTAAAGTGTGCCTAATCTGTGCCTTTGCATGTTTTTTTCCCGTGCTTTGGCACAAAAACCGTGCCTTTCTTGAGCGCGAATCGTGCATAAGGCACGGTGTTACGCACGTGTACACCAGTAGCGTGCGCCAAGCCGAACGCGTAAGGAGGGGGAGATTGCTTAACAAATATGAATTTTGATAAGGTTATATTTATTATGAATTATTATTATTATTATTATTATTATTGAGTTATTATGAGTTTTGATAAGGTAATAATGAAAATTATTATTAACAATACAGAGATCAGAGGGCTGGAACTGAACGAAAAGCAGTTCAATAAAGGGTGAAATAATTAAACTTTGTTTTCAACAAATTGAAACCAAGTGACGGTTGCATAAAATTCACCTGCTCATTCAGTAATTCTCTAAAGTTGGGCTAATTTATTGCGAAATAAATGCAAAAAGTTGAACTCTGACAACAAACCAGTGTATCAAAAGAAAGGAACATGGATATAATCGGTAAGTTAGTGCAAGGGAAAGAAGTTATATCACTACCTTAATTCTTTACTTGTTTTTTTTTTAGTTCTACGATAGTAAGAGATATAATCATGTGGAGCAAAGTTTTTGTGGGATATGATTTTTAGCGAATTTCGATCATGAGGATTTTCTAAACTGAGGTCCATGACATGAATGAGGAAAAAATGAAATAAATAATAAGCTGCGAAACCACGCGCGACCCTATTTAAGGAATCTTTGCGGTAACTCTGCTATCTTAGAAGCGTTATGCCTATCAGATATTATAATAGTGATCCTTTTTCTTTTTAACCACGAGTACGAATTTTAAATTTTATCTTGTTATATTCCCAGAACTAACTCGGTTTCCTGTCAATGATTAACACAAAAAGTGCAGAAGCCAAAAAGGATAGGCGGAATGATACATCGGTGTACTACCTGAAAACTGATTATCAAAGGCACGCGAGCTGCGTTTAAAAAGTCATGCCCGTACTTAACGTAGTATCGTGAGCGTAGTCTTATTTAAGGTTCTTATTAAGTAACTTATAATTAGAGGCATGCAAGCCTTGAAACGTTTCTAGCATGAAATAAATGCTTCATTACGTTTTTGGTTGAACGGATGAACGAATGACATAGGGGATACCGCCGCCGTAGCTTTGAACTCCATTTCGACGATTTATGACCAAAGGGAAAATATGAAATAAAATAACACCCCCTTCGAATTGCCATATCTCTTACTAGTCGTCCCTAAAATATGGCCACTGGTACGTGTCTTGTCTCCAAAAGTTATTCTCAGCGTTGGAAAATCCACGATTTTGCAAAAATTCGTACCCGTGAAACGCAGAAAGGGAATGTGCGAAATAAACTCCTGCCTAAATTTCATGCCACGACGCACTCCTCAGTTGCTTTTACAGTAAAACTGAGTGACCCATAACTCGCACAAGTTAACCTTCTCACAGGTGTCAAATAGCTAGAATTCTATATCAGTAGTCGAAAGAAGTGATCAACTATCGATCGTCTATATTTACTACGACAAATAGAAAACAATAGCTTAGTTTTGTTATGCTTTTGCTCAAAATTTTGGAACAACGTTTTTCTATTTGACTGGATGTATTACTTTGCATAGATACCGGTAAATGCCTCATTTCCACATGGTTCCATTTAGCGATACATCAATGCAAGATTTTAAACTTTTTTATTTCCGAATATATTGCTTTCGATGAAAATATACTCTAAATAGCAGCTTTCTTGCTTTGCTTTGAGTGCTCGGTAGAACATCTGTTAACACCGTTTATGGGCCAATTGAGACGTCATCCTTTTATTGTTTTCGAATCTTTTTATTTCATTTTTTCTTCTTTTTTTTTCTCTCTGAGTGACTGCTTCTCGCATTAACATGTTGTTTTGTTTGCAAATTTTCTGTAGAACAGGGGAATACCACTGGTAACCATAACACTTATATAGAGGGGATGAAATTTTGCTGGAACGTTTGGAATGAGACTGGTAGATATATTTCTGAAAGAGAAAGAAGAGCTTGGTTTGCAGCTCAAGTCGTCGAGTTTATTGCTATCTTTTTACTGAATGCTTTCACTCTCGCCACCTACATACGAAACCGCCACTTACGCAAGCGCAGTACGTACCTGATTTTAAATCTGACTGTGGCCGATTTACTGGTGGCAACATTGGCTGGACCTTCTTTTATATCGGAAGAAGACAACCTGAAGCCGGTGAATGGTCTTGAACAAGATTTAAGTTGGCAATCATTTATGTTTTTAACATCACAGGAGCTTTCTTTAGTTGCTTCATTAGCTAATATTTCATTGATCTCGTTAGAGAGGTTACACGCAACACTTTTCCCCTATAGGCATTGTCTTGTTGGAACAAGGGTTTACCTCGCCACTATTTTTTGTAGCTGGTTGTTCTCCTTGACTTTGTCATCTGTCATTTCTCTTCTTACTTTCCGCGCTTCGTCGGCTTCTTTTCTGTATGTCATGGCATCTTACATTTTTCTATCCCTTCTTATTCTCACAGTTTCATATTCTATAATCATCTCAACTGTCAAAAACAACCCTCACACACCTAATGCTGGAACAGCACTTTCAAAAGAAAGGAAACTAACGGTGACCTTATTTACAGTTACTGTTGTCTCTTTTCTGTCCATTCTTCCTTGGGCTATTTGGACTGTTGTCCCCCAACGCATATGGAGTAAATTATGCCCTGCAGTAGTTTCCCACATCGATTACTCGGTTGACTTACTCTGTCTTTTCAATTCTATAGTCAATCCCCTAATATATGCAGTAAGAATGCAAGAATTTAGGAGAGCAGCCAGAAAACTTTTTTGTACTAAGACATCAGAACTAGCTCGAGTCCAACCCATGGAACCTCTTACATTGTATGTACGTACTCAAGCAATACCTGTTGAAGAACGAACATAAGAAATGGAAGATTTCCTTAGAAAAGCGCTAACAAGATTGTGGAGGTCTTCTTGCTTAGATATATGTTGTAATCTTTATTAATCAGTGTAACAAAGATATGAGTGGTGAAATAATAACAAATGAAATAAAATAAAGTAATAGTTAAGAAATAGAACGCAAACTGCGGTGGTAAACATTGTTAGAGTAACATACAACTTCAGGAGGAATTATATTGGCTGCAACGCTTGCATTTCCTTACACATGTGCATCTAAATAAATGATTCCTTGCCATTCCAGTCATCTCTGTCTCTTTGATGTACAGTGTAACCCCGCTCTACGGACACCCGTCTACAAAGGACAGTTTAGTTTGTCCCGAGCGAAAAAAAGCTCAGCAACATATATTTTATGAAATTACCCTGATTTTTAAAATCCGGACATCCGCTTAATTTGGACACTAAAACATGGCCCGTGGGTGTTCGTATTGACCGGCCGGCTCCATTGTAATTATTTCAAATGTCAAAAAAAATCTTTATTTCAGTGCGATGGTTTACCCTTTTTCAGCCAATGATCTCGTCATTTAAGAGGGAATTTGAATGAAAACGATGCGATGGTGAATAACAAGTTGTTTTAAAGGCGCAAAATTGTGGTAAAAGAAAGTAATGTCGCACGCCAAAATCTCACTAGGTTTTAGTTTGATAGGAATGATGTACCCTGCTCAGAGGTCGTTCAATTCCACATTCTTAACTTCCGCTTGATTGGGCTGTAGCGCCAACATGGCCAATACGTGGGGAGAATTATACAATGTGTACTCAATTTAGTACATTAAGATAAAATAAAAGCTGAACTTAAAAGAAAAAATCGTATAATTAAACAGGGACCTATGCACCCTTACGTTGATATTCTTAAAATAGCCTTGCTAGGTTTGGTGCCCTAACATCCAGTTCTCACTCCTGAATATTTACTTCCGTCTTTGTGGGTTCCAGTCCTCGCTCCTTCTTATTCACTTCTGCGAGTCATTCTGCGACGGTCCGAACAGGTGTTCACACTGTACCGAAGTATGACACGTACAAAACCTATCCGATATGTCACACTCCACTTTTGAGATCGGCGCGGTCGCTCCGTCACATAATGAGGACTTTACGATCCAACGACGCGACGGCAATGAAAACGTCTCTTAAAAAGTGAATTTGCGTTCTTTCAGTCTATATCGCAATTATTCCTGCCCACTTACTTTGTCAAATGTAGGCGAACCCTTCTGGAGTTGAATTCCTAGGCACCATATCCAAGTACAGTAAGAGAAATAAAATTTCTTCGTTGCTTGTTTACGTCCTCCGTAAAACGCGAGATTAGGCATGTTCACGTCCTAGTCGTGCAAAAATGGGCAGAAAAATATACAAAAAATCATTGTGCACGTGCAAAGCTGTCGTTTTGCTAATATAACCTACTGATTTTTTGTCGTTCTCGTTACCGTCCGCGTCGTTAGATCTTAAAGTCCCGACTTCGTGTCGCAACAATTGTTCAACTGTTGATTACAGAGACGTTTTGGTGGGGTCCGTTATTTTCAAATTGTCATAATGGTACATACATAGGGTTTTAAAATGACTTAAGACTCAACGTAAGATGGACGGTGCATAATTTATTCGTTTTCGACAGGATCTGCGAGAAACCGGGATATATTTATCTTGTTAATAGCCACTCTAACAACAACTTAACTTGGGAACACGCTTCATCAAAAAATGATAATGAACAGAAGCTGAAGACAGCAATAAACTTGTTGTGACGTTTTCCAAATTAACGAAAGAACCTCTTTTTGCTTTTTGCGTGAACGCGTAATGAGATCGAAATTGCTTAACAAATAGTAATATACTGAGAAGGTTATAATGAAATTGTTAGAAGTAATACAGAAGAGAGTTGGAACTGAACGGACAGCAGTTCAATAAAGGATGAAATAATTAAACTTTGTTTTCAACAAATTATAACTAAATGACGGTTGCATAAAATTTATCTGTTTATGTTAGTTCTCTAGAGACGGGCTAATTTATTGCGAAATAAATGCACAAAAAGTTCAACTCTGAAAACAAAGCAGTGTATTTAAAGAAAAGAACATGGATATTATCGGTAAGTTATTCCGAGGAAAAAACTTATATAATAACTACCTTTAGTGCCTCTTGCGATAAGTTCTTTACTTGTTTCCTTTTTATTCTAAGATAGACTAAGATATATATATCATGTGGAGCAAACTTTTCATGGGACATGAGTTTTGGCACATTTCCAGGATTTCGTAAAGATCTATGACATGAATGCGAAAAAAAAAAACTAAAAAATAAAATAAAATAAAAAGCCGCGAAAGCGTACTCCCCCAACCTGCACGTGACGACCCTGTTAAAGGAATCTTTGCGGTAACTTTGCTATCTTAGAAGCGTTATGCCTACATATTGTAATAGCGATCCTTTTTGTCTTTAAATGTCATAGCACGAAGTAGGAACCTAAGCACCCTATGTTGATGTTCTTAAAAATATACTTGCCTAGTACCTAAGCCTCATTATTCAAAGAGGCTGATACGTTTTGGGCCACGTGGTCTGTACTACATACGCCACTATCGATATATCAAAATTCATTATGATAGTGAGTCCAGGGGGACACAAACAAAAATAAATATTTACAAATGAATAAATAAATAAGGGAATAAACATGTTAGTCCTTTTTTGAAGCCTGTAAAACTCTCCGTGCATCATGTTGAATTTTATGATATTTGAAAGAGGATATTCATTTAGTTTTTAATAAGCTCGACGCATAGCTGACATTTTCATCAGCGCAAAGGCATGGCATAAAGTCACTTAAAAATGATGAATAACAATCAGATAAAAGCAACCAGAAAGTGGTTCTAAGGAATAAATCTATAACAACTCAAATTAAGATCTAGGAATAGTTGGTTTCTAAAAAATCTGAATGTTTTGCGTCTTACTGAACTTTTCCATTGTTTACTTAACTAGTTAATATAAATTGTCATATGTTTTGAAAGCTATTTGTTACTTAAGTTTAGGAATAACCTTATGTAGGTTCCAAAACTAATATGTTTGATAACCTCTGCCAAATAAGCAAATAAGTGTCACATTGATTAGGCTATGATCGACACTACCAAGCTGCTTGTAATATATACGTGAAGTCTTGAATTAAAATTCATGCTTACTGAAAAAAAGAAAACTAGTTGAGGAAATAAAAGTATCACTTGTTTATCTTGAGTTCCCTTAAAAGCCAGAAAAAAGATATTCTAAATCCTGTCCATAATCGGCAAAAGAAGCGAAAAGGAAACAGTGAAATTGAAATTACTACACAGAGTCAAAAAGTACACTTTTCGACTGTAAGCCTTAATTTCGGTTGCTATGTTTAAAATTACTCGCCAGATAAGATATTGTCCATTGATTCTTGTTGCATGGGACAAACGACCGAAACGTAAATCCCTTGAAATTTTGTCTATTTTTTATCATTAACGATTGAAAAGAATAATTTGCGTCAGTTGCGAGTGAAAAAAAAAAAAAAAAAAAAGAAAGAAAAGAAAAGAAAAGAAAGAAAAAAAGAAAAGAAACAAACAAACAAACAAAAAGAAAGCATGGTAAGTTCATCGTTTACATATCAAGAGGCCATCAAATCTACAATCCATCATATTAGCTGCCATATATGAGTACTTTTCGTTTTATTTTCAATGACAACAGAAACAGTATAAAGGTAGTGAGCCCTATAGGCAGATTAAACCAACTGGATCAAGTTAATTCCTCAAAATTCTTGATATTCAGGCAAAATTATTTTTAAGTTCGTATAGCAAGCTTACTCCTTGTAGACTTTCTTTAAAACTTTTGTCTATTTCTCGGCACGGATTCACTGATGTTAATTTTTCCTGCATATACTCCTCAAAAAGTAGGTAACATCTATCCTGCGATATGTTTTATGTATTTCTGCACTTCTTCCTTTCAGTATTAGTCAGAAGTTCAGCTTTTTGGTCTTCGGATAACTGTGCACCCGTTATTTTAATTAGGTGAGAACGGAATCATAACTGGATTTTGTTTTTTACTTACCGCCACCTACACTGGGTTACGATCTTTTTATACAACTGAAAAACAAATAAAAGAGTAAATAAAAATAGATAAATAAAATTTTCGTTGTTTAGGGCAATTGAACAACTTTATTAGTGAAGGAAACATACTGGTCATTATAGTGATGTATTAATTACCCTGGAATTTAACTGAACATCAATGAAAAATTAACAACGTGCTTTGTGCTTACTTCAAACGGAACAGCTGCACGCTAAAGGACCTAAGGTTACAAATTTTTGGTGTTCAAGTCCAGTGACAGGCTAAAACAGTCACCAAGAGGTTCTCTGTGGACCTTTAGGGTATTCATTTATTTGTTTTTAGTTTATCTATTTATTTATTATTTTTCATATTTTTCTAGCACGATCTCAGGTGACTTCATTCAGTGTGTTTCATTTCCCAAATGGTCGTAGAAATCCACTCCAAAGTTCTACTCTTTTGTTAATTCTTATTACTGTCACTAAGTGGTTGATTTAATTTACGTTTTCTTTTTCCTTCGTAATTGATAGTTACATGCATGTCAGAGAAAGCAACTGTGGCTGATTTACTATTTGGAACAACTGAAGGCCTGTTATCCATATTGGAACCAGCTATCCCTGAGAGGTACCTGTCATGCTCTACAGAAAAGTGGTTCAGCTGGCAAGAACTAATACGTTACCGACTTTGTATTGATTTCTTTAGAAAGATTACATGATACAATATATCCTTTCAAGCACTGCCTCATTGAGATAGATAGTTTATTCTGATTAAAATCGCAGCCAAAAGCTGAATTAGATTAATCGTTACAATAATAAAATCTAATAAAAATATGAGAAAAAATATAAGAAAAATGTACACATATGTAGCTAAAATTTAATTACAGTTGCTGTATATTAATGTGTTCTTAAGTCTCTTCGTCTTAGCCAGAGGGACATTAAAATTCCTCTTTCGTCTTAAATTGGATTCACAAGTCTTACGAGGTGGCAAGAGCTCATGCAGTTTATGGTCTGAATTACAAGTGATGGAATCAAAAAGTTTAGTTGTGATAGACTGCCTGCGTCGAGAGAGCGTTTCCAAGTTGGCTTGATGTAATGGGTCGCTATACGGTACAAACGGAAAAAAATAATTGTGTAGCTGTTCTAGCTCTGCGGATAAATATGCGGGAAGCGCGTTGTGAAACACCGGGCATGCGTATTCCGTTACTGGGCGGATACAGGTCAAGTAAAAGATTAGCAGATCTTTGGCGGGAATATTCGCTCTCTTCAGTTGTTTATGAAAATATAATGGACTCGCTACTTTTTTACTTATTTCAGCAACATGACAGCTCCACCGGAGGTCGGATGATATATTTAGACCTAACAACTTAACAGTAGACACTACCTCTGCTGCTTTTCCGTTGATAACAATGGGAGCAAAGTCCGTGGCTGATTTAGCGAGCGAAATCCGTAGTGCCTTACACTTTGACTCGTTTAGCTGGAACTTGTTTTGGTTAGACTTAGCGATCAGTTCCTTCACATCAGATTGGATACGGCTGTCTTCCTTCTTGTGAACACACTCTGCAATAGTTGTGTCATCCACGTATTTCCACAGTTCCGTGTTACTAATGTTGATGTCATCAAGCATGAGAATAAACAGCCACGGCCCGAGCTTGGTTCCCTGAGGCACCCCTGCCGGTACGTTCCTCCATTCAGACAAGCAAAAGGAAAGGTTTACTTTAGGATTATTGTTTTCAGTTGGTTGCTGGCATTGGCTCTAGTCTAGTTTGTGTTTGCTTTTCTTTTATTGCGTGTTTCGATTGTATTCCCATACGTATGCATCTTTCGTTTTTATCACCCTTCTAATTCTCGCAGTCTCTTATGTTAGGATTATTCTAAACGTCAACTGAAATATCCTCCCTCGGCATAGCACTTTGGCTCGTTACTTTTGGGAGAGCGAAAACTATCGCTAACATTATTTATAATGACCGTGGCCTCGTTTCTGACCATTCTTTCTGCCGTTATTTGGGATGCCATAATTGCAGACCACTTGTGGCAGGATGAAGTTTCTTCAGCGATAGCTTATCGTATCTCTTATACGTTTGGCGCATTGTATTTATTCAATCCTATCTTGAATCCCTTATTTATGCTATAAGAATGCAGGAGTTCAGGAGAGCAGCTAAGAAACTTATTTGTAAGAAGAAATCAGAATCAATTAATATCGAACCTGTTGAAAGTCTTGCGATGTAGCAGTCTGTCCTTCACTCACGATCCTGTCCATCTATTAGACAAGTTAGCCACTTTTGAGCATCTTATTCTCGTTAGAATGTCTGTCTTTTGTTTAGTTTTTCTTCCAGCGAAATCCGCTGCGCTCACTTGAGTCCCCACAATCCAATGGCTGTCAGTGTATTGCTCCATGTCAGGTACTCCGGATTCCCATCCGTAATCGGAGAAACCTTTGCTCGTGGAATCCAGAATCTGGGAATTTTTTCTCGGATTTTTGCTCGTGGAATTCCAATTCGAGGGTTTTGGAATCTGTCATCCAGCTTGAATTATCAGGGATCCTGCAAACGATTGGAATCCGGAATCCAAATTCCACTGACAAGGAATCCGGACTTCCATTGTCTGGAATTCGGAAGCGACACCGACCACAGTGGGGAATCGAGAATCCTGGACTGGGTTGGATTACCTCGCATGGGACTGGCTGACCCAGATGAATCAGGGGAAACCAACGAAGGTTTCCTCCTAAATACACTGAAAACTCATCTTAGGATATTCAGGGTCAGGGTACTTTTAGATCTCTAGGAATATATTATAAACGGCGCTAAAAAATTCGTATCTGCTCGGTCCGACATCCTGAGGGGAACTTGAGTCTTTTTCGAAATCACAAGGGCTTCAGTATTATTTTCCCGAAAACTTAGTTGCAATTTTCGACATATTACGAAAGTGAGAATTTTTCTTATTCCTCTCTCCATCACGTTTTTGAATCTGAAAATTTCAGGTTTCCTTTCTTCTATGAAAAATAGCGTAAACTGGGAAATGAAGTGTGAAAAATGAAACTGCGGAAAATCGTAAAGAATTTTTTACATTTTAGCTTCCAAGATTGTATATAAATGGAAGGGTCAACTAGAATGTTTTAGCTGTCTTCAAGTAACAGAAAATGCTAGGCAATATTTGCTTCTCTAGATAAATTACAGTAAACAGTCGTTGGGTGCCCCGATACATAAGATTGTAGATGAAGGCACTTTTGGTATTATGGGTCAAACCCTCCATAAGCGACCAACCAAAGTGCGAAGACTTCGTGGTGGTCGCTTTTCTAAGTAGAGGTCCCGAAACACCTACTTGGAAATGAGTTCATTGAGTGCAATTGCAAGTTGTAGTTCCATGAGACAAAAGGTTAATAGATCAGTTGGTCGCTTACAAGAGGTGGTCATTTACGTGAGAGTCCCGAGTTTTTATAGTGGAGAGAGGCGACGACCAGAAATACGTCTGCGTTTGCGGGCTATAAAGGTAATTCAGTGGAAAAATTTGGGGGTTTTAGGATAGGGAGTCACTTATACAAAGCGGTCACTTACAATTTTGTGATACATATTTTTAAAGGTAGTCCTTACTTCCAAGTCTCTTCCGGAACTGAAATCCGTTGATCAATTTAGTTCGGCGTATGTAAAAATCATAAACAATTAGTACATATAAATACATAAATTGTACTCTCACTGCATGACAGGCCTCAGGTCATAGAACTTACTTTAAATTGACTCGAACTTACTGCATCCCACATCATTGTCGTGTTGAGGAATAGAACTCCGTGACAAGGCCCCTTTGGAGGATTACAGACGTTATTACACATTCAACTCACTATCACTTTTCTGATCGGCCGAAAGCGTACAGTGAATTTTCGAAATCAGCGCCTGGGACGTCTTCTAGCTGCAGCTTATACAATAATCATGTCAAGGTGATGTCATGTAAGACCGTGCTGCATGATTTCTTTGGGTAATCATGTCAAGTTCGCGCGCTTTGTGTTGCTTGCCGTCAGAGCAAGGTCAAGCTAAAGTACAACACAAACCGCCGATACTCGATGATGAACTGAAAAAACTCATTGTACGAAAGCGGTGTTTTCAATTCAGACCACCCCAAGACGCTTCTGAACAAAATGTTCTTCGAAATCATGCTGTATTTTTGCAGACGTGGTCGTCAAAATCTACGTCAATTCAGAAAACAGCCGACTTCGAAGTCCACACTGATGCAACAGGAGCCAAATATGTGTCAAAAGTCCGCGAAAAGTAAACTAAAAATAACAGAGAAGAGGTTTATGTATGCTACTGAAGGCGTGTGGTGCCCTGTCGCTTCTTTCGAGAAATATTTACAGTATCTAAACCCTAAAAAACGAGTTCTTATTTCAACGACCCAAGAAAGAGGTGAGCTCAGAAGCCATAGTCTGGTACGACAACATGGTAGTTAGCGAGCGCCCGTTGGGCGACATATTGAGGCGAATATCAAAGGAGGCAAACCTGTCACGTATTCATACAAACCATTCCATCCGAGCTACAACCGTAACAATTCTCGATAAATCAGGGTTTAATTGAAGCTCGTCACGTAATGACTGTCAGCGGGCACAGAAATGAAAGTTCAACCAGGGCCGACAGCAAAACCGATCAAACCGCCAACAGGAGAATGTGAGAAACGTTAACTGCTGCCGGAGCTGGCAACTCTGCTCCCGATGAAGACTCTGTGAGGTTAGAAAACCTTACAGCTGAAAATATAAATTTGTCTACTCTTTTAACTCTCTCACAGGAAGAGCATGTTATGCGACATTTACACTTTCAGACAACTCACTCCCAAGTTTCCAAAAATGTCGCTTTTTACAATTGTAATGTTTTTTTTCAGTTAAGACTCAATATTTATTGGTATTTTCTTTCTCAACCAGCTTTTATTCAATTTTTCACATATTGTCTAATGCTTAGACTTTTCGTCAATCGAATTATGTGCCGCCGATTTGTAAATTTTTACACGTTTAGAAATAAATTATCAGTTCGAATTACTGTCGTGACCATGTTTTTTACGTTCAATGTATAATAAAACAATTATCGGTAAGAGTTATCAGCCTCAGCCTCAGCCTTCGGCCTTCGGCTTCGGCAGATAACCCCTACCTCGACCTTGATTATTCTGAATATCACAAAAACCTCATGCAATAATTGTTTAGAACTGCCTTTATTGTGTCTGTGGAACATTTTGAGAAGCACTTCAAAGAAAATCAGTAGTGTGTATTTTTAGTCGATAAAAAGAAAACTCTATGTCAGAGTAAAAATTACAATAAAGTAAACAACAACTTAAGTATTGTTTGTTTGTTTGTATTTGTGGGTGAGGGGTGGGGGGGGGGGGGCTGGGCTGCTTTTATGATACAGGGATGACTTTATGGACATGAAATGAACTCTTTTCAGAATAAAAGTCATTCCGGTATCATGGGAATAGCCCCTTTCTTGCTGTTACTGCGGATGATGATGTTATTTTGTTTTTTTTGTTTTACGAACGAAGCCATGGCAGCCCATGTCTTAAGATATTTGCCACGTGATTATCGACGACTCACGTGGCTGAATGTCGCCGGAGCCTGACATTGTGGACCTTAGGGACGGTGCCCACTATTGTTACTGCGCACATTTTCTGCGCATGTCAAGGTAAATGCGCGCGACGCGAAAGAAATGCGCAACACGCAGGACACGCGGACTGGTTTTGTCTCCTGTAAGTCTGGGAGGTTCTAGTTATTTCTTGTGGAAAGAATGCGCCGTTTTTCAACAGATGCAAAATAATTTCTATTTACGTTGTCAATTCTTTGAAAATTATGCGCATGTTGCTATTTCTGCCGTATGATCGATCTGACCGAACATTTTATAGTCAAACAAAAGTCAATTCTAAAACATCAAAAGTTACTGCTTGAAGATGTTACGCTTAGAGCTTGGGTATTAAAAAATCCCTTAAAAGGCAAGGACCAGTAAATCAGAAGGAAGCTCTAAGTCCTCCGCTTGATCGAGAAACTGCAAGCTTACCTTTCACTCGCGTCCTTCGCGTTTTATCAGCTAATCGGCTCAAAACACTTTCCCGAATATTTCTTTAATTTTGTAAGATTTTATGTCCTGTAATGTCCTGCTTCACTTTCTGTTTTTGCTCTGTTCCGTGGATTGTTGTTCTCTCTGACTGTTAGCCATTTTGGATATCCCAGAGCACTTCGCGTTGAGTGAAGCAATAGTGAAAACTGACAGGGGAGGGATGGGAAAAAATGTAAATAACCCCCGAAGGCATTAAGTTAAGGTCGAAACCAACCAATTTAACCTCTAAAAATGCGTGGTAACCCCTACTTCTTATCTTACCAAATGAAAGTAATATGCCTACTCATGATCAGCAAACGACCAATTTTTGGTTCGGCGAAAGTGTCGTTTACACTATTTTTAAGGCAAAGGCGTGGAGAGGGGCAACTGCTGATAACTTGCCAGTTGTGCTGTTATTTAAAAAAAAAAAGACTACAGTCTGAAATTTGGGGAAAAAATAACTTTTTATCATTTTTCTAAAAAAATGCCTATTCAGCGTTTTTCTCCATATTGAAGCGCAGTTATCTCTGAAAAAATGCGTGGTTACCCCCAGTTTTCTTTTTGGATTTCAATAGCCACTGATATGATCTACTTGTCTCACATACATCGTCATTAACTGGGAAAAAATACTTCCCATTAGTGGGCACCGTCCTCAACGGGGTATTCGGGGCCAAATACGGGGGACTTACCGAGCCCCCATAGGGTTTGACTAAAGAACTAAAACCCGCAATCCGGAACCGAGGCCCAAGCGGAATGACTCTGAAGTTTAGTGATAAGGGTCAGGAAACTGGTGCAACCTGAACTGAAACTTGATTCACTCAGTCTCCTAACCCAAATCACTAAAACTTCATAGTCATTTGGCGTTCGGCGTGTTTTTTTTTTTTTTTTTTTTTTTTTTTCCGGACCCCGGGTTTTAGGTAAACCCGGCCCTGCAAACTTAGGGGGACTTTCGAGAAACGGGCCCCAGGTCTCTCTGCTTTGAAGCAGTTGTAGAGTTGGACAGTAACTCATTTCCACCCCTCCCCGCTCTTTTACTTGCACCATTTTTCGCGGAGTCTTTGACTCTCGTTCCTCGTTCCTTGTTCATAAACCACACGGAAACGCTTGCTACACAGGCTACAAAATAATAATAATATAATAGATTAAAATGAAAATAAAAATAGAGAAAAGCGTACCGTGATATTTTGCGATTTTGTCTTAGTTTTATTTTCGTAAATCCCGTGCAGAGGGCATTTGTCACAAATCAATAAAACATGTATATTTCAAAGCAAGATTGTAAACTTACAACTGCCCTACATAGAACCTTATGAAAAGACAAAACATAACTACTTGCTGTGTATGCTGTCTATGCAATGTATATATACTGTTCAGTGCTTAAAACGCAACTTGAGAAGTTCAGTAAGTGTGCACAGTACAAAAAACACCTGGACTCATAACATTTTTAAAATTCTTATTGTCTTGTTTTCGAAAATGGTATTAATATTCGCATGCTTGAATTTCGCGCAATCTTTTGTTTACGTGTTAATGGCGAAAATCGCGAATTTAATACAATCTATACACCCCAGTTTGCTTTTTTGTAGCATTCCGCTGAAAAAATAATTGTAAAACCACGCTGCACGCTCTGTTTTCTGCCGCTTTCGATGTCCTTTGCAAACAACAAATTATTCCAGTTCCAGTTTTCTGATTCCTGGTGCGCAAATCGCCCGTGTTAATGGACGAATGCAAACTAGCTCTTTGTAGCAGGAAACGCAAATTTTCCACAAATTTATTTAGATAACACTTCTCACTTTCAAAAAATTTGTCATTGTGTTACACGCGCACAGAAAGTCGCTTCAGCGACCCATGGGGAAAGCCCCCGTTCGATATACATGTATGAAAATTCTATCATCACTTCGAGGCTTTCTGGTCATTTTTCTACATTTGGTTTGATATTCTTTGTGTTCAAATCTCTTCTGGGAATTGCGAGACAATGGAGTGGGTGAAAATTTGCAATTTTGACCCTAAAGCCTTGGAGTCATGTTAGAATTTTAATATATCGAACGTAGGCTATTGTCAGTTATCATATAAAACATAAGGACACGTTAATTAGAGAACACGTGACGGGAAATGGAACATATGGACGACATAAGGTCATTGTGTTGTCTCCAAAAGCAATCAAATTGCCTTGATCTATTTAGATTAATTGTTGTTTCTTGGTAAACGTATGTAATGCTGGGCTGTCATTGAATTAAATTGTGTCAGTCTTACCCTAAAAAGGAAGAGTAATCATTCATGTTTGCCTTAAGTTGCATGCATAAATTTCACCTGCTTATCTGTTCTCCATGCAAGGTTCTTAATCTAAGGCGAAGTGCCAGTAAACACGAGAGCTCCTCACAAAACTGTTCATAAAAGGAAGGAAGAAGGTTAATGTGAGTAAGTATACCAAAACGAAAAAGTTTAATCAAAAGCGAAATGGCTGCAGTGACTAATTATGTGCATGTTTGGGATGATCATTCGTGTTTTTCCATAACTAAGGGATACTTCTCAAGCGATGGGTATTCAGTAGAAGGACCTAATTCATAGCTGTCATATGTTGATAACTCAGACATTTATTAATCTCTAAAAAAGTCATCCAGACCCACTGTCGATTATGACACGTGTTATTCTCTCAGGTTATTAGAAGGCACAAGAATATTTTTGTTAGAGCTCAGTTACCAAATAAGGATTAATGCAGAATTATTCGTCTACAAAGCGAAATTTTCTGATGTACTTTTATCAAATATGTTGAACTTTTTTCCATGTCGATGCTATTCGATTATACGATTAGCTAGCCTTATATTTAAATATTTCTAAGCTGTATTAAATGTTTTAAAAACGTTTTATCCGTTTTTCAGCAAGCGAAATTGATTAAGAGGATTTTCTGCGAAGTTACTTGAAAAGCACCTGTTAGCTGTGGAATTGACGCCTGTTCAGACTGTTTATGCCAAAGGTATCTATGACAACCACTTACCTACGGTAGTATTAGATCATTCTAAAGAATAGGTTCTCGTACCTGTTAGAGAGCGTTCATTGTGGGTAAGGACTATGAGGATTTTTCAGTTTGGAAAAACATTTTAAGGGTGGCCCCTAATTTACTCCCTCCCCCCCCCCAAAATAGACTTTCATTGGATATAATCTAGCGCAGCCCTCCCCACCCTTCTCTACTCAAAAATCTTGTACACCAGAAAGTTGTATTCACGACTCAAAGTGTCTCGTGCTTTGAGTTTTTGAGTTTTTGTGCGTACAATTTTTTTCTGTTGTTTTTGTCGAGGATATCGTAAAGCGCAAAATTTTTATAGATTTTTTTTTTTTTTTTTTTTTAAGATCCATGAAAACAAAGACTGTATGTGTGAAACCTCGCTACGCAACTAAGTAAAGACTTTGTCAAGGAGTCTTAATTTGTGGTAACTATGTCATCTTTGACGGGTTATGCCTAGTAGATAATCTTTTTCTTCTCTTTGTCTACGAGTACGAATTTCTATGTATATTTCCAGAACTCCCTCATTTGCTCTTGTTGATTAACACAAAACGTACAGAAGCCAACTAGGATAGGTGGGATTTGTTTTTTATCACATTCTGTAGCCGTTGCTGCATGGAGTGGGATACAGCATGTAGAGCCACAGTACTATTTTAACCTTTTTTCACCTGGTGCGCAGGAGCCACTTCCACCATCCAAACAATATTTTTTTTAGATTAGGCAGCTGAAAAAAAATTATATTTTGGGCATTCATCAAAAAAACAGTCATCATCATCCCGGCCCCTTTCTTCAGTAAAAAAGGCTTTTTTACCTCGTTACAAATTTCAGACGAGATGATCGTTGCTTGTCGGACTAAGCAGAGTTTTTTTGCCCTCTCAGGGGCCTCTAACCTTCGCTTTTCATGAACCTGCTCCAGACTTGGTTTGCTAACTGTTGTGAGACCTACCTTGTCGAGTTTCCTCTTTTGTATCTAGCCTTCTTCAAAACTATTTTAGCTGCTTTATTCAGGACTTTCTGTCTTCCCCCTAATTTCTTGTCTTCAAAAACCTTCATTTTTCGATGACCATTTTACCTGCCAACATTAAGATTTTTCCAGTTTTTTAGCAGTTTTTTCAGCTGATAAGCCAGTAAATCGAAGTACACATGCTTATGCTCTCAAGTAGCTGAACATTTTTGCATTAAGAGGGTTTATCCTTCATGATAATCACAAAAAAACTAGGAAGGAGTTCCAGCAATTCGGGCTACAAAATACAAAAATATATGTGGCGGCAAATATACTCGCGCACGCGCACGCGCACCTTTGGCGCGGAACTACACAAATCGAAAATTAAAGTCAAAAGATGGCACGACAAGTATAAAATATTGAATTATGTTAAAAGACACAACTTTCTCTTAAACTACTTGCTTACAAAGTCCAATCGTACTGAATTACAGACTTATAGAGTAGAGGAACAAACTTTTGGAACATCCTGTATAACCGCGCTGTAAGTACTGCAATCTTGCTTTTGTGTACCGTTTATTCGACATTTTTGTTCTGTTTGTAGTTTTGTTTTCCATTTTTGCTGTCTGAATCTAGATTCTACCGTTTTTCATTGAACTTTGCCTCGCTAGTTTTCTACTTATCAGAAAAGGTTGTTGTCAATGATTGCAGATTTTTGCTTTGAATCTCAAAAAAAAAAACAAAAAAAAAAACACGAATCACTTTTACAGCTGTCGGTTATCGCCGTTTTCAATTCTTTGTAAATGTATTTGTTATTCACATCGCCTTCTTTTATTCGAATTCAAACCCTTAACATTGGTATGTGTACTTGGCTCTTTTTATACAGCTTTTGTGCAGTTTTCCTCTCGCTCGATTGAACTAATCTTTACAAAGTAATTATTCAGCTGAAGAAAATCTTTGCGGTATTTTTTTCCCCTGGGATTTTAATATCAAGCTCATCAATCTTTTTATCCTTGTTTGACACTCAGATTATGAATTGTCTACCACGACACAAAAACCTTTCTTTATTCTAAAAGAGAGCTTAATTATATTAATATAAATTAGCGAGCTAAAAATCATGTTGTAATGTGTTGTTTTGGTTTGCAATCGATCACGCGCTTCATCAACACGAACGCGTCATACTTCAATAAACATGTAGGTTGGAGGCTAAAGTAAAATTTTCCTGAAACTCTTAAATCTCAGTAGGACAAAAATAGAAATGCTTTTCACCGGCCTAGGTACGTCGGTCCGTATTGGGAGAAACTGTGCCCTCTGTCTGCTGAGTACGGCCCGAGGCCGTACTCAAGACCTCGGGCACAGTTTTTCCCAATACGGACCTCCCAGCCGGTGAATAACACATCTATATTTAAGTACGGCGGTGAGGGAATGTGAATGAAAACGATGCGATGGTGAATGACAAATTATTTTTAAGACTCAAAATTGGGTTACAAAAAAAGTAATGTCGCATGCCTAAAGTCTCACGAGGTTTTAGTTTTACTGGAATCATGTACCTTGCTCTGAGGTAGCTCGTTTCCATATTCTTAACTTCCGCTTGATTGGGCTGTAGCGCCAACATGGCCATTACGTGAGGAAAATTTTACAATGTTTACTCAATCTAGCGTATAAAGATAAAATAAAACTGAACTGAAAAGAAAAGAAAAGAAAAATCATATAACAAAATAGGAACCTATGCACCCTGTTTGGTACACTAAATTCCAGTCCTCCGTGTTAAATATTAGAGAGGTTAAACGTCTAACGGGCAAACGCGAATTTGTGCCTGGTGACGAAGTTTCCCCTACACTTGTCGTTTACTGCTCATTACTTCTACACATAAATTAGCAGTTTCATGCAATTTCTTATGCATACGATATGTTTTGATCTGTTTTGATCTGCTCATTTTCTATTTTGAGAAATTCTCAACTTGAATCTGACGTTTGTCGTTTGCCACATACTTGAAGCTTAAACTCTCTCTATCTACTTCCGTCTCAGTGGGTTCCAGTCCTCGCTCCTACTTATTTATTTCCGCGACGGGCACACTGCACCAAAGTATGGCACAAAACCTGTTTGATATCAATGACTTTTTTTTTGAGATCGGCGTAGTGCAGCTGCGCTCCGTCGCAGAAATCGCTCGTTACCACAACCGTTCAACTGTTGTTCTAAGAGACGTATTGGTGGGTACTGGTATTAGTTAAATAATTTTCAAATTGTCATAATGCTCGCTCTCCAGTCTACATACAAGGGTTTTAAAATGAGGAAAAGCAGGCGTAATATAAGATAGCCGGGTACATAATTTATTCGTTTACGACAAATTTCCTTTTCATTTTTGTATTATATTTTTTTCATTTGGTTTCGACTCCGTCTTATTTTTTATAAAGTTGTGATAGGTTCTATGCCTGGGTTACTTTCACTATGGTTCTGCACTGTCCTATATCTGCAACATAGCGGAGAAACCAGGATATATTCCTTTTATTCAAATAGCCACTCATGATAACATCTTAAGTTGGAATTTCGCTTCATTAAAAGAATGATAATTAACAGAAGGTGAAGACAGCAATAAAATTGTTGTGACATTTGTTAAATTAACGAAAGAATGAGAGCGAAATTGCTGTTTAACAAATAGTGATATACATAACTGAAAAGGCTAGGTTATAATGAAAATTATTTGAAATTAAATGCAGAGTGTAGAGAGCTGGAACTGAACGGACAGCAGTTCAATAAAGGATGAAATATTAATTAAACTTTGTTTTCAACAAATTATAACCAAATGACGGTTGCATAAAATTCACCTGTTTATGTTAGTTCTCTAGAGACGGGCTAATTTACTGCGAAATAAATGCAAAAAGTTCAACTCTGACAACAAAGCAGTGTATTGAAAAAAAGAACATGGATATTATCGGTAAGTTACTGCAAGGAAAAAAAACTTATATCACTACCTTAATTGCCTCTTGCGATGAGTTCTTTACTTGTTTTCTTTTTTTTTTTTGATGGTCCAAGGTATATATTATGTGCAGCAAATTTTCGTGGAAAATGGTTTTTGGTGTATTTCGAGGATTTTCCAAAGATCCTTGACATGAAATGGAAATAAATAAATGAATAAATAAATAAATAGGTAAATAACTTAAAAAAGCTGTAAAAAACCTCACATCCCACTGACTACGTGACGACTCTGTTTAAGGAGTCTTTGCGGTAACTGTGTTATATTTATACAAGCGTTAGCCCTAATGATTAGCAACCTTTAGTCTCTTTGACTTTGAGTACGACTTCAAAAAAGCATCATTCTGTTTATATTCCCAGAGCGTGCTCGGTTTTCTGCTGTTGATTAACACAAAAAGAACAAAAACCAAAAAGGATCAGTGCGAATTGCAAGGCCAAAAGAGGTGGTGTACCAGAAAAGTGATTTTCAAAAGCACAAATGAGCTACGTTTGAAAAGTCATGCCCATACTTGTATTCTCGTGAACGTAGTCTGATCTGAAGTTTGTTATTAGTAACCTGAAGCTTACAAGCCTTGAAACGTTTCTGGCATAAAGTGTTACAGTAAGGTTTTGGTTGGACGGATGAACGAATGGCAAAGAAGATAACGCCGCCGTAACTATGAACTCCATATCGATGATTTATGACAAACGGAAAATATGACTTAAGATAACATCCCCTATGAATAGCTAGACCACTTAAGAATCGTACCTTAAATGTTGCCAACGTATTTTTACTTTTCGTTGTTGTCATTCATATGGAATCCAAGAGTTTCAAAAATTTGTTGTCGAGAGGCAAACCCTTAATGCGCGAAATGAACTTCCTCTTAATTTTCACGCTTCAAGGTATTCCTCAGTTGCTTACTTATAATTTTCCGGTAAAAGTGACTCCAAACTAGCACAATTAAACCTTCTCATGGATGTTACCAACATCCGTGTGCCACTGATCAACCTGAAGCAGGAATTATATATGAATAGTCAAAAGCTGGGATCAATAGAAAATTCTATCGATCGTTTATTACGCCAAGAAAAACGAAAAAAAAAAAAAAAGCTTTTGTTATTAATTCGCTTCAGTTTCGGAAAAAAGTCTCTTTATTTGACCTGATGTATTACTTACTATAGATAAGGGAATCCCATTTAGCGATACACCAATGCAAGATTAACTTTTCTTTTGTTTTTGAATATTCTCCTTTTGATGAAAATATACCTGCTTTTTTGCTTTGCTAGGAGTACTCAGTAAAACACATGTTAACACCATTTATGGGCCAATTGAGACGTCGTCGTTTTATTGTTTTTTAATTATTTTATCTTATTTTTCTTTCTGCCTTACATTAATCTTTTTTTTGACTGCTTTTCACTTAACTTGCTATTTTGTTTGTATTCCTGTTCAAGGCAAATTTCCTGAAGAAAGGAAGGATAGCCACGGTAACTGTAACGCTTAGTGATTATGCAAGAATGCTGGAGAGTTTTTAATGCGACTGGCAGACTTTTTTCTGAAAAAGAAGAAAGATTCTGGAATGCAGCTTTCGTCATTGAGATTATTGTCGTCTTTTTACTGAACGCTTTCACACTCGCTATCTACACAAGAACCCGTCACCTGCGCAAGTGCAGTACATTCCTGATTATAAATCTTACTGTGACTGATTTACTGGTGGGAACAGTGGCCGGACTTTTACCAATACTAGAACCAGATAACCATAACAGGGACCTGGAACAGGCTTTCAGCTGGCAATCATTCGTGTATTTCACATTGACACATCTAATTCCAGTTGCTCAATTAGCTAATATTTCACTGATCTCGTTAGAGAGGTTACACGCAACACTTTTCCCCTTCAGGCATTGTCTTGTTGGAAAACGTGTTTACCTCACGATTATTTTGTGCAGTTGGCCGTTCGCATTAACTTTGTCATCTGTGACCGCTCTTCTTTATTTGCGCCCATCGCCAGCGTTTCTGTATGTATTTGCACCTTACACTTTCCTTATTGTTGTCATTCTCACACTTTCAAATGCTATAATCATCTCAACTGTAAAAAACAATCCTCTCTCCCCTAATGCTGGACCAGCGCTTTCAAAAGAAAGGAAACTAACGGTGACCTTATTAATAGTTACTGTGGTTTCTATTCTGACCATTCTTCCTTGGGTTATTTGGACTGTTATCCTCCACCGCATAACTGTAAGGAGTAAACTATGTCCTGCAGCCTTTTACCGCATCACTAAGTCGCTTTTTGCACTGTATCTTTTCAATTCGATAGTCAATCCCCTAATATATGCAGTAAGAATGCAAGAGTTTAGGGAAGCAGCCACAAAACTTTGTTGTACTAAGACACCAGAACTAGCGCCAGTCCAACCTCTTGCATTGCATGTACGTACTCAAGCAATACCTGTTGAAGAAAGAACATAAGAAATGGTAGATTTCCTTAGAAAAGCTGTAACAAGATTGCAGAGGTCTTCTTGCCTAGGAATCGTTTGTAAGTTAATCAATGTAAGAAAGATATGAGTGGCGAAATAATAAAAAAAAATGAAGTAAAATAAAGTAATAATTAAGAAATAGCACTCAAACTGCCTTGATAAACATTGTTGGAAAACAAAATATGACATTAAACTTCATAGTAACATACAACTTCAGGAGGAATTATATTGGCTGCAACGTTTGTATTTCCGCACGCATGTGTATCTTAATGCTTCCTTGCCATTCCAATCCTTACTGTCTCTTTGATGTACAGTGGAACCCAGCCGTCGAAGGACACCCGTCTACAAGGGACAGTTTCGTTTGTCCCACAGAAAGAAAAAAGCTCAACAACTTATATTTTCTCTAAAATTACCCCGCTTTTTAAAACACGGAAACTCGGTTAGTTTGGACACTATGGCATATCCCGTCGGTGTCCGTATTGACAGGTTTCCATTCTAGTTATATCAAATGTCATATTATCCTTATTTCACAGCGATGGTTGACCCTTTTTTCATCAATGATCTCAGCAATGAAAAGGGAATGTGAATGAAAACGATGCGATCCTGAATGACGAATTATCTTACAGACGAAAAACTGTGGTCGCATCTCTAAAGTCTCACTAGGTTTTAGTTTTCTAGGAATCATGTACCCTGCTCCGCTCGTGTCCTCATTATTCTTAACGTCCGCTTAATAGGCAAGTTTCGTATTCCCGGGCGACTTAGGGCGAGTGCTTGTTTTCGTGCGAAAGCGAGGCTAATGCGGGTTACTTCTTGGCAAGACGACAAACAAACTGAGTTACCGGAAAATGAGGAAAATCTTAATTTAATGTTTCGATGGGCTCCAAAATTACTTATAGGCTTAAGAAATCATTGTTACGTATCGCAAAAGGAAGATCAGCTCTTGGTCACCGAGAAAAACAGTGAGCGAAACCAGAAATTGTCCGGAAGAGTGGGTTGGTGAGCGAGTTCAATAAAAATGCGAAGATGGTGTGACAATCCTTAAAACGTGGTAAAACCCTGAAGCCATTTTAGTGTCCATTTCCAGTGATCGTTATAACTTCTTTAAGTAAGCCTTTCATTGAAATGTGGTGGTTATCGAAAAAATGCAATTAAGTAAAACAACTACTTTTCAGTTGACATTTTCTAACGTAGCGTATAAAAAATCTTGTGTATTTGAAATAAACCGAACAAGTACGTTCGGTAGAAAAAATATCTATCACGACAGGGCTGAAGTTCTGCATAGATTCCTTGCACGGGAAAGGCTATTTGAAAGGTATAAGTTTATTTATACATTTAGCTTACATCGTTCATAAAAACATTCAGCCACATGTAGAAAAACGATCGACGTATGCACATTTCATTCGATTAGAAGTTGAATACGGACTTATTATAGAGATGATAATGCTATATACACACACGAGTAAAAGAGGATAATAAGAAGTTTGCAGTCTGCGGTCTGCAGTCTGCGGTCTGCAGTCTGCAGTCTGCGGTCTGCAGTCTGCAAATGTCATACACCGTCTGGCATGAAGTGTTTCATTACGTTTTTGGTTGAACGAATGACAAAGGGGATAACGCCACCGTAGCTATGAACTCCATTTCAACGATTTGTGACAAACGGAAAAATGCTCTCCAAACGTATGGCTCTGCTCCGAGCAGGCTACACGGTCATCGAAATGTGGGAGTGTGACTGGGACCGATTGGTCGACAACGAGCCTGCTGTATCTCAGTTTCTGGCTTTCTTCGATCTGGTCGCACCCTTGGAACCCCGCGAGGCCTTTTTTGGGGGTCGAACCGGCGCGGTAGCTCTGCATGCCGTGGCTGGGGAGGGCGAAGAGATACGCTCTGTTGATGTCACCTCCCTGTACCCGTGGGTGAATAAAAACTGCCCTTACCCCATCGGTCATCCGAAAATCATCACCCAACCCGTCGACCAATCCCTGGAATCGTATTTTGGCCTGGCCACCGTGGACATTCTTCCTCCGGCTGGCCTGTTCCACCCCGTCTTGCCCGTACGCTGTGGCCAAAAGCTCACGTTTCCTCTCTGCCGTCCCTGTGTCCAGGAGGAGCAGGCCCAACCCATGTTGACCAGAACCCATTATTGCCCCCATTCCGATAATGATCGCATGCTACGCGGGACCTGGTGCACGCCCGAGCAGTTCAAAGCCGTCGAAAAGGGGTACACTCTCATCAAGATCCACGAAGTCTGGCATTTTCCCCCCGAGCAACGCCAAACGGGTCTTTTCGCCAATTACGTCAACATCTGGCTAAAGATCAAACAAGAATCGGCGGGGTGGCCCAGTTGGTGTCAGACCCTAGAGCAAAAACGAGACTATATTCTTTGCTACCAGGAACGGGAGGGCATCCGACTGGACATTGCCAGCATTGCCAAAAATCCCGGTCGCAAGGCCACGGCCAAACTGATGCTCTGCAGCTTCTGGGGTAAATTCGGCGAGCGGATCAACAAACCCACCACCGTCACCGTCCAAAACCCCGCCCATTTGTTCAGCCTCATCTCCGATGCCGCTCTCGATATCAGCACTCTCCGCCTCTGCACCGACGACATCCTGGAGGCCGTTTACACCAGTGTCAAAGACAATGCCGTCAAAGGCACCAAGACCAATATCTTTGTGGCGGCTTTCACCACTTGCCATGCTCGACTGAAGCTCTACGAGTCCCTCGACACCCTTCAACAGCAAGTCCTTTACTACGATACGGACAGTGTGATCTATCGATGGCGTCCCAATCAACCCTCCATCACCACGGACGTCATTACCGAGTTTGTTTCTGGGGGCGCCAAGAACTATGGGTACCTAACACGCGCAGGCAAAGTGGTGTGAAAGGTACGTGGATTCACTTTGAACGTCCGTGGCTCCGCCATTCTCAATTTTCACACCATGAAAGACAACATTCTCTCGGAATTAAACTCGCCTCAGGACTCTCGCCGAAATTTGAACATTACCACCCCTCATTATTTCAAACGGGATTTAGAGAAGAAACAAATTCAAGTGGTTCCGCGCGTGAAGCAGTATGAGTTGGTGTTCGATAAGCGCGTCATCCATTTGGCCACTAAATCGAGCTATCCTTATGGCTACGAGAGGATTGGGGATGAACTCGACCTGCTATTAGATTTGTAAAAAAAAGGGCGTGACGTCATTCGGACGTCACACACGTCCCGCTTGTCACCAGGCTCCACTCGCGATTTGTTGATTAAAAAAATGATTTTTTTCACGGTCAAACTCTGTGTGCGCGTGTTCTTTTCCCCATGTCTGGGACCCAGGGTCACGTGATGCCAATCCCGCCCTCTGATTGGTCGAGAGAGGTCACATGAATTTTTTGATGACGTTTTCATGCTAATGAGTCATGTGACCACTTTCTCGCTCTCTGATTGGCTAAGAGCAACATTTGCTGCGCTCTGATTGGTTACCGACTGAAGTAGCCATGTATACTACTGGTATGCATTCCTATACTTAACTCTGGAATCATTATTTCCAGCTGCTTCGTTAGCTAATCTCTCATTAATTTCGTTAGAGCGGTTGCACGCAACTATTTATCCCTTTAGACACTGTCTAATACGTGAACAAATATACTTTACGGTAATAACATTTAGTTGGCTTTTAGCCTTATTTTTTGCATCTATGGTGGCCATTTTAGTTGTTTTACGTGCACAGTTCACATTGGATTTTTACGTATTTGCGTCTTATTGTTTTATTGCAGTTCTTATTATTCTCTTATGTGATTATTACTTTGAATGTCAAAAGCAGCCCTCAATCACATATTTTTGGATCAAAGCTTTTAGCAGAGAAGAAACTATCAATAACTTTATTTGTAATGACTGTGGCGTCCTTCCTGACCATTCTACCTTTGGCTGTTTGGGTAGCTATGTTGAGACACATGGTGTGACTTGAGCCCTGTGATAGCTTATCGCTTTCACCTTACATTTTTTGCCTTATATTTATGTAATTCCATAGTTAATCCAATAATATACGGTTTAAGAATGCAAGAATTCAGGAAAGCAGCCAGGAAACTTTGTTGTTGTAGAGAGCCAAAGCCTGTGGAGTCCATTGAACTTCCTGCTGTATAGTACGTAATGAAAACAAATTGAGAAAAAAATTGATTAATCAATAATGACTGACTGGTAGCAAAAATGTGGACAGTGACTTAGGTTAACAAACTTTGAAGATTCAAAGAACACTTTTTAAATTTTAGTAATTGGTCAATGAGAAGTGGAGTTCTTTGGCGCAGGGAAATCCTTTATAACTGATCTTGGATAATAAAAAAATTGATTATTGATAACAAAAAATCACCTTGTCGAAAAAGCTCTAGATGAACTGAAAACTTATTTCTCGACTCGCGCTTCTCCCTTCAAAATTCAAATTCACTACATTTTACTAAATTGCCAGGCTAAGAAAACTTGTTACTCCGCCAAATGTAATAATCGCCGCATATTGTAATACTAACACAAAATATAATATAAAGAGTCGCTGCAAAGAGTATACTAAGTCAGTCGAATAAAATAGCTGTTGTCGAAAACAAGGAATAAAAACGCTTTATTCAAATTTCAATGCATTACTCAAATATTTAGAATATATTTAGAATATATGAATTGAGTCCGGCAAGATATTACTGCGCTTTTCTCAAACATGCGAATTCTGAAGTTCAAATGCCGCCTTCACAATTGTGTTTTTCGCTGTCGTCAATCATCTTAACGGACCTCTTAGGAAACAAAACTTTACTTTAACGGGCTCAAAAGGTCATGGTTTGTGATTTGTGATTGGTGGATTTCGATCCATTCTCGTGTGTTTGTGTGTTTCAAGGTTCATTGCTTGTGATCGAGGCAGCGAAAAACGCAATTGTGAAGGCGGCTTTTGAACTTTAGAGTTCGCATGTTTGTGAAAAGCGCAGTAACACGACTTTTGAAATCAAATTTTGGAAAGCGCCGTGCTTAAATCGAATTTCAATCGGCATGGCAGTAACCTGACCTTTGAAACAGGCCTAATAGTGAAAAAGCACGTAATAAAAGATATCCGATCTGTCACATTTTTTTTTTCACGAGAACCAGATAACTTTGGCTGGAAATTACTTTTTGCTTATTTTTCATTTAATTAAGGATCTGAATGTGTTCGTTCTTAATGCTGTATTTTTAAGTCAAAATTTCTTTCATTAGGAAGCTCCCAAGCTTTATAGAGTCCAAACAGTTTACCTGGCAATGTAGTTGTCCGGCCTAATGCAGACAGCGCAAAAAATTTTTAGAGCTGAGCTGATGACACAAAAGTATTGTGTTTGCCCGGGAACGCACAAGTTGTATTGCGTAGTTCGTCTTAATTGTTTGAGTGGCCAGGGATATACTCACACAAATAGTCGAAGGAAAACTCATTAATTAGAAATATTGTTTACAATAAAGTCAAGTGCTTTAGCGAGTGTCAAGATATCATAATGGGCAGGTCCTATTATGGCTGTTGCGAGTGTTTATCACCCTAAGAAATCACCCATTTCAACTCTCGACGCATTTCCCCAGTTGTCAACCTAAATTCTGCCTTTTGTAGCCTTAGACACCCAACAGAAAATGTGCAATAATTGAACAGAAAAATCTACAAATGCTCCTGATTTGGCACCTGTATTACATTCAAAAACGGAAACAAATGTACGATTCGGTTCGCTATAGATGATTGCGTCTCCTTATTTCAACTGTTATTTATTTATAATATTCATAATAATGTTAATATTAATATCAAGAATAATATTAACAATAATAATAATAACCTATAGTTTAAATGAACATCTGAATCCGCTACTGATTACTGAGCCACAACTTCTTATATTATCAAATTTTACGTTATTACATTATGCGTTAGCAAAGTTATCACATTTTATTACATTTTACGGCGTAACAAAATTTATTTAAGAAAAGGTATGGAAATACTGTTTTTAACATTTCTTTGGCCCAGGAATAGTATAGTATCTTTTTTCACGTTACCGCTTCTCTTCATTTTAAAATTGTAAAAGTCCTTTTTAACATTGTAAAAGGGTGAGAACTAAAGCAAAGTAGAACAATGTGGATTGACTGTGGCTTGTTTTTAAAACGCAGAGGTTTTTCCTTTAATTTTGACTAAGTTTAATTACTGGTTGTTCACTGAAAACGATATACAGTGAATAACTAACTTAAGTTATCATAAAGACGTAAATTATGTATGTCGTAGGGCTCAGCAGTAGGTTTATCATGTAGCCTGATGGTTGCTCGCTTCCGCATATATCGACACATATTTATTAAATTCCGCTCATAGCTTGATAGGCTGTAGTGTCAAATTTACCTGGAGATAATTATGCAATGTGTACCTAATTTGTTAATAAGGTGAAATAAAGTGGACTGAAAGCAAATCCTGCTCTTCAAAATAAAAATAACAACATAGCAAACTATGCACCTTTTGTTGATGTTCTTAAAAGAGACTTGCTAAGTACCGAATCATCATAATTATATCTTCGTTTTTGATTTGCTCAGATCCCACGGGTTACCGTAAAATTCCGAAAATAAGCCCCTCCATGTATAAGCCCCTCCAAATATAGGCCCCACCAAACCGTCAACGCAAAAAAAAAAACCTCCATTAAGTTGCCTCTGCCCCCCGGGGGCTTGTACTTGGAAAATTGCCCCAAATACAAAGTAAAACAAAGCAAAAACGGTAAATTTACTTCCAACTGTAAGGCTAGCGCAATCGATTTTGAAACGAAAATTTCACTCCGTAGATAAGCCCTTTCGAATGTAAGCCCCCTGCTAGTTTTGAACAAATTTGGAAGATGTTTTCGATATCCGGAATAAAACGTTAATAGAACAGGGTAATCACCAGAAAAGGGAAGGTAACCGAGAAGTCCTGGGGACGAGGTTTCGTTATTTTGGTAAAGCAGTAGAACCATATAGAAAATGGTGAAACAGCTTTGTGAAGAAGTAGGCGAACTACTGCCTCAAAGCATAGCAAAAACAGCAAGGATACAACTCGAAGGACAACTGCTACTTGAAGAATATCTGCAGAACTGGACATTCCTTTTTATTAAAAACTGAATCATTGGATAATGCAATTCTAGAGCTCTGATTGGCTTAGCCATCATGGTAATATTGCCATTTTAACATGCTCTCCAAATTTTGCAACTGTACGCGTCTGCTCAAAATTAAAAACAATATTTATATTTTGTGAGAGTTTTTAATAAAACAATTATTCCAAAGCCAATTCGGCGCTACGCGCCTCGTTGACTTAGTACCATCTCAAATCCAAAGCGCACTCGTGCAATAATTGTTAAATACCTGAACTTGATCTGGAACAGGCAAATGAAGACCGGAACTTAACATCAAGGGGATGCTTTAGCTTGTTTTTAAACTAGGAATTACTTTAAATCAATAATAAAACAATTCTTGGATTCAGCTTTCTTATAATCTGAAGAATTATGCAGATCTAGGAAGGTGTTATCCGCCTCTTAGTTTCTCGATCTCCATAAATCTTCATATCATACTCATCCTTATTCAATATATAATCGCTAAATTAATGGTTCCGAGAGTCTTCTTTGACATTTTGGTCTTCACTTCTTTATTATTATCATTTTGCCAGCCTAAAAATGAAGAGTAATTATAAAGTTCATGTTTACTAAAAGTTGCATAAATTCCACCTGCTCATCTAGCCTGTTTTCCAAGCAGAGATCAAATTTATCGCGAAGATGAATGCATACAAGTGAGTTTCCTCAAAAAATTACTCATAAAAGAAAAGAAAAAGGCTAAAGTGAGTAAGTATGTCTAGAGGAAACAACTAGTTTGATCAAAAGATAAGTGTCTGCAGTGACTTCTGTGCTATCCTGC